GCTGACCGGGCTAGTCTGGCTGTGTTTCTGAGAATAGAGGGTGCGGATGCGCGCAGTGCTGGGACTGTGAGGGATGCGAGAGTGCCTGCTGTTCTAAGACAGAGGGGGCTGAGGTTATTTGTGCAGTTCATTGTTGATGATGAGCGAGAATGAGACCATGGCTACGTCAGGCCAGCTGCGGCGCATCGACGGGTCTATAAGTGTGTTGACAGTCCACCTTGGCCTGATGTTTCCGGCCGGTAATGCGTGGTGTGATGGTCAGGTCACAGCCGACGGGCTCCATTGTGCCGACGAACCTGATGTTCAGCAGCGATTGTCGGCGCTCCATTCCTCGCGCGATTCGTGGGGCCTGGAGTTTGGTGGACCGCCAAAAACAGGCCAGCGATTGGCGACATGGCGCATTCGCAAGGCTTAGTTGCGGGGACCCCCATTTAATCGGGATGCGAACCCGGGGAGGAGGTCTGGAGGTCGCCGGTTGTTGACGCGAGGAGCCGACGCCATTTCGCGATTGCCGTTCCGTTCCACCGCCAAAGCTGTTGCCAAGACCGAACCGAGCCGGAGGGACCCTAACCCTATGCCCTCATCACAGCTTCCCCGGTCCCCACCAAGACACAAGATCGGATGAGTCAACGACAAACTCTTCACTCCACTGCTCCTTCTTAAGCGACACTTTCACGCGCCTTTTCAACAAATCGGGTATGGTGTAGCGGTACAGCTAGGAGCGAAACCGCCGTCCGGTCTGCACTCTTTTGAAATGTTTGGGCACGGACCAGCAATACTTGAGAAACATCAAAGCACACTGTAGCGCCAATAGCGGCTGACATTAGCTGCTTTTTCTCTCATATTGTGTCAGCATTAAGTACCACAAAGTACGGATTAGCGCTAAGTAAGTAGGACTGCTCCGACGCTTACGTGATTTTACCACAGTGCAATGGTCAGGGAGGGTACTCACCGGCCCATGCTCAAGCACGCGACTCTCGAAGGGCAGGCTTGGCATTCTTCACCCTTCCCAGAGAATAGAATCACGCTTTTCGGGCACGCTTGTCCTGAATTTCCGCCTTGCCTTACTCTAGGTAACATTTGCGTGTCGCGCAACTACACTCCAGAGAGACATGATTCTATTCACAGCAGCGGAAACACTGCCAATGACGTGCTTCGAATTACGCGCGATTGGCGTCTGCCTTCCAGCCGCCAGCGCAGACAAAACGCCCAACGTGCGGGGTTGGCGACCTAAGCAATCGCAACACCTTGACAATGAACAGCAGCCACCTTCGACGCCCTCAATCAGACCGACCGAGATTTACGAACTTTAACAGCCACTTGCGGTGCGTACTTCTCGTTTGTCTAACAGCTACTCTAGTTTCAACTGCTGATTAGCGTACCGACAGTCCCGCGAACATTAGCCTTCCGGTCGGGCGTCTGCTCGCTTTTTCCCACTGCTGCACATTTGTATGGATAGCTGCCGACAGAGCTAAGTTTGTCGGTCTTTCGAAATGCGACTCCTAGAACGTGACGATACCGGCAAAGTCCGTTTGACGGAGGACCTCTACAACGAGATTCCGCCGTATGCAATACTTTCGCACACATGGGGCGACGGAGAGGTCCTCTTTGGGGACCTAATGGACGGTACAGGCAGGATCAAACCAGGCTACGATAAGATTCGATTTTGCGGAGATCAAGCCTGGCGCGATGGGTTGAGATTCTTCTGGGTCGACACATGCTGTATTGACAAGTCAAACAGCGTTGAGTTTCAGGAGGCAATCAACTCAATGTTTCGTTGGTACCGCAATGCAACCAAATGCTACACCTATCTCGCGGACGTCTCAATCCCTTCTTCCGACGTTGACGACAAGTCCATCTGGGAGCCGGCTTTTCGAGCGAGCAGGTGGTTCACCCGCAGGTGGACTCTCCAAGAACTTATTGCTCCAATGTCAGTCGAATTCTTCTCTAGAGAGGGATTGCGTCTTGGAGATAAGAGGTCTCTGGAGCGAGTCATTCATAACGTGACGGGGATTCCCCTCGAGGCCCTCCGAGGCGGCCGTCTGTCCGATTTCACTGTTAGTGACCGAATGGCATGGACCGAGACACGCAGAACAACACGCGAAGAAGACATGGCATACTCGCTCTTCGGTATCTTCGACGTCCAGCTGCCGCTGATATACGGCGAAGGGGAAAAGAGAGCATCTAAGCGGCTGTGGGAGGAAATCAAGAAACACGAAATCCCGTCAGCTCCATCGCAACTGTGGCAAGATTATGGCCGGCTTGACGCGACTAGCTTCCGAATTCTAAAGGTCATGCCAGGAGAGCCGGGAAGTCCTATTAAAGGATACCTCCGAGAGTTTGACATTGCCAACCCTCCAGAGTACAATGCTTTGAGTTATGTCTGGGGTCATGAACCGGCGATCCACCAAATTATCCTTAACTCTAAGCCGGCCGCCATACGACCAAATCTTTTCCATGCACTACAAAGGATAAGGTCGCCAAGGGAACCATTTTCTCTTTGGGTAGACTCGATATGCATCAATCAATTTAATGAGGCTGAACGAAACGCACAAGTCAAGGAGATGGCAAACATCTACCGGAAGGCCCAGGCTGTTTGGATTTGGCTTGGCGAAGAGGACCTGACAAGTAAGGATGCAATGCGACTTATTTCTCGAATCAACCGCGGTGACTCTATGTGGGTTGAGAAATGGTGGGAAGAGCACGATTTTTCGGCATTCGATCAGGTTCTCCAAAGACCTTGGTTTCGGCGCCGTTGGGTTATTCAGGAAGCAGCGTTCTCAGCAAACTCGGTCATCTTCTGTGGCAGCTTGACAGTTCATATGGGCGCATTTTCTTACGCAGTGGATCAGGTACGAGGGAGACTCCACACTATACCACCGCCTCTCATCAGCACAAAGACTACGTTCCTCAATGAGCGCCTACCCAACTTTCGCGACTCACCCGCAACCAGGCTACTCGGCATTATCGAAAAAGCTTTCAAAAAATCTGATGAAGATTCTGCCCTGATTCGTCAGTTGTCGCTGGAGACTCTCGTGGACCTGAGTTCCTTTGCCGAGACAACGGACCCGCGAGATGCAATATTTGCTCTGTTGAGTCTTGCGAACGATGTTGAACTAAGGGAGTCACATCCTGGAGGTTCAATTGTTCCCAGCTACGGCAGCAGCTTGCTAGATGTATTCGGCGAATTCGTCTTGCATTGCTGTCATCAATCCGGCTCTCTCGACATCATATGTCGCCCGTGGGCACCCGTGCCGACTTCAAGAACGTATACTAGCAACCAAGTCGACCAGCTTCAGGCGAGCACATGCTCCTGGATAGCGTCAATAGACGGCCTCCCATTTGGCAGATTCTCAGCAGGAGGAACGTATCGGCTGCATGGCAGGCCCCTCATTGGACGTGGCCAGAGGCATGTCTACAATGCCCACAGCGGCACGAAACCTCAAGTCCGTCTCGGAAGTTCCGAGATGGCAAGCACCTGCAACGGGTCACTATACGCCAAAGGTATAATTCTTGCAGAAATTACTCAAAGGTCGACTAGAATGGCAAATGCGATTATAACAAATGAATGTCTCAATATTGCCAGGACGGATCATCCTGATCAGAGGCGGAGTCTCGTCAACCTCTCAGATGCTGTCTGGCAAATCCTCTGCGCGGATCGCGACGCCCACGGACGCCCTGCACCAATGGAGTATCGGTCGAGGATGAAAGAGGTGCTACAACTCAACTCCGACATAGTCCTAAACGGAGCCTACAATGACCAGCTCGGAACTATGCCTTATGTCGACGTCGAAGAGCTTCTAGCGGCCGACTTACCAGAAGGCGTGCGAGAATTCCTCCGGATCGTTCAAGATGTTGTATGGAATCGTCGCACATTTAGGGGAAAGAGAACTACTAACGGAAGCCCCGTATCTGGACTTATTCCTCAGCAGGCCAAAGTCGGCGACCAATTATGTATTCTCTATGGATGCAGCGTTCCCGTCGTTCTTCGGCAGCGGGCGGGGGATACTAATCAGCACTATTGGGAGCTAATGGGTGAAGCGTATGTGCATGGGTTTATGGATGGAAACGGAATATCTTCTTTGCCGCTAGGGGAGCTCAAACGTGGGGAGGTTGAGTTCGAAATCCGTTAATGAGTTCAGCGTGGCTTCAACTATAGCCGAATCAGATATTATTGAGGACTTTGTGGCGACTCGTCACAGGTAGCTGCATAGATGCTTGAATAGCTGCACAGGGTAGTATAGGCGACCATTTATGAAGCTCCTCGTATATAGTTATAAGTTGTTGCCCAGATATCCGAGTAAGAACCTGAGCATTGTTGAAGGAAATCAGGCAGAAAGCAGTCTACATAGGGCTTACTGGTGATTACGCCCTGATCAGAACACGCTTCTGAAGAGCAATATTTGGCGCCACTGCGATTGTGGTGCGGTCGGTGATGCTGCTGTTAGCAGAGGAAAATTGCGATGATTATGCCATCTATTTTGGATGATGATTTTTTCGGACGCGGCAAAATCGTAAATCCGTCTTTGAATGAAGTAACCCCCCCCATAACTGTTAGAAACACTGGCACTCTGGATCTGTAAAGTTCGATGGGGTTGCAACTGCTTGATTGTATTGCTTGTTCTGGTTCTGGCTTCCAGCCAGAACCTTCTTTTTAGTCCTTTCTGTAGGATTCGGACTGCGTCCTCACAGTGGCTCAGCCTGACTGGCGTTCGGGCACCGCTAGGCATCTAGTCAGCAGAGCTGACTAGATGGCTAGGGATCCCTATTTTCTGACAATAACTCATAAGTACTACGTGAGAACAAAAATGAATTTATGCGGTTGTCAGCTGCGCCCGTGCGTCTATGTTACTTGAGAAGAGTGTGGGCGATCGGACGCCAATTTCGCTCCCAGCTGTAACATCGCTGGCTCTCACATTTGAGTGCTCAGCAGCTCGGGGCTCGACTCCCCGTATCAGAGAATGGTGAGCTTTTCTACGGCAGCTGTCAACAGTTGCAAATCTTCCGTAGTATAGTGGTCAGTATGTGAGCTTGTCATTGCGACTTTCGCTCGAGACCCGGGTTCAATTCCCGGCGGGAGAGTACTCTCTCAGTTCGCCTTTTTGCCTTAGCAGGCCTTCCCGTTCGCTGAAGTTCCTCTTTGTGCGAGACTCGAGAGTTGTCTTTGTGCAGATCTCTTTGTTCCTTCCGAGGACGCTGTTCTGCGACATGTCTTTCTTTTTGCCTCGCAGGCATGTTATATGAGCCACTATGCAATGTTGAGAATGTCTGTCCCAGCATGCCCGTATCAGCCCTGCAGAACTGTATTGAACACATTGTCAACCAAAAAGCATTCAACATGTCCACAGATCCCGAACTAGCCCACCACAACCTCGTCCGCGTGGCCTTCATCTTCGACACAGCCATCCTCCTAGACCCCTCGACCAACCTCCCCCGCTCAGGCGTCCGCTCAGCCCTCACCTTCCTCCAAAAGCACCACATCCCATTCATCATCCTCTCCTCCCCTACATCTCGCACCCCCTTCACAACCGAACCCCTCCTCACCACCCATCTCAACAACCACCTCCCTCTCCTAAAACCGCTATCCCAATCCCTCATCGCCCTCCCAACAACCCCTTTTCGGTCATTGGTCCCCAAAATCCGCCAAGAAGACCCCGTCCTTATCATCGCCTCGGACCCCTCGCACGCGCGCCACCTCGCCTGGTCGTACGGTTTCGAATTCGTCCTCACCGTTGAAGACGTTGTCGCTTACTACGATGACTTTGCATCTTTTAAGAAGGGTGTGGTGAACCCGGTACGCGACAGAAAGGTGGTGATCGACAACAAGGCATATTGGCAGGTAAATTCCTCGCGACGATTGTTGGTTTCCCAGATCTTGGTGTTTTCGACGCCACAGCCTGGTAACGGGGACACCGAAGTTGTAAAACATTTGCTACAGAATGGTGGAAGGCTGGGGTATACAGGTCAGGGAGGTGACGCACCGCCTCTACATGTTGTTGAGGAGGCAAAGGGGTGGGCGGAGGGGGTGGTGGGACGGCAAAAGTGGGGAGAACGGGGGTTTAGTTTGTATGGAGGACCGCCGGAGGGGATGCGGTTTTTGGAGGTCATGTTGCGGGGGGCGAATGATGGGAGTTATAGGGAGATGATTGGCAAGGTTGGGGATGATGATGATGATGATGGGGAGGAGAGGATTGGGATTCCGAGGTTGAGAGCGATTTATCTCGTGGGACGGGGATTGGAGGGACGGAGGACGTCGAGTTTTGGGACATCGTGGAAGGATGTGTTGTTGCAGGGACAGGATGGAGACGATGCGTGGTTTGTTGCAAAGGGGTTGGGGGAGGTGGTGGAGCACTCGCTGAGGGAGAGTTGGGTTTATTGGACGGGTAGGGGATTGAAGTGTTTGTGGCCTGAGCCGAGGGATGTTTAGACCCTCTGGGAGATGGATGGATGTGCAAAGGATGGTATGGCAGTGAGTTGATGCAGTGAATGATGGAATTTCTACTCAGAAAAAAAGCAAAATGAGAGGTGTAGCGAATGTAAAGCCAAAACCGTCCGTCTCCATGGCCTATTCGTCCAGATCTTCTCCCAGCGCCATCAGACACCTGTGGTTTTCCCACCACCCTGACGCCCGGCGCTGCTTGATCCCCTTTCGCCTTGTCCAATGGCCCCCGTGTCGCCTTGTTCGATCAACATCGCATCGATTTGTTGGGTTTTTGTGGACCTTGAAGACTTCGAGGAGTCGGGCGGGCTGGATCCCGGCCCAGGGGACTTGCCAGATGACTTTGAGAACCTTTTCGCTGAAGCTGCATTCTTCAGTGCCGCAGACGTACAAGCTGCGCTTTTCAGGCGGGAGAAATTGCGGCAACCGGATGGCGTTTCCGCATTGCTGAACAATGCAGAGGTCGGGGCATTAGGTACGATGTTCACGCAGTAGAACGATTCCTCTATCGCGTGGGCTCTACATTCCGGGCAGTGCCAATCGATGATATAACGCATTTTGCTTGTCGTCGGTTCTTGCAAAGATGCTGTCGACAGGTATAGGGATGAACCTGGAGAATGACCGACATTGGATAGATCAATACCTTTGATTTTATATCGAAAAAGACGCAATGCAAAGGAAAGAGACAAAATATTTTGTTGTCGAACAATGAATGGTCTTGATCGAGTCCCGCTTCCTTTTCATATTGTCGAATAGGAACTGTGGGACGACTTCCCTTTCATATTTTCCATATTCGGTGTTAAGACGGCGCGACAAAGCGCGACGAGAACAATATTCCCGGATCCCCGATGTCTGTTACCCACAGTTCTGTGTTCGACGCCCACCGCGGACTCGGAGGCTAGGGTCTCAGCGACAGCCATCTCGACTGCGAGCCGTCCTTCCGCCCCGTAAGCTTTCTGATCTGCTGCTCCAGTCTATTCTTTCCCTTGCCCAACTTTTTCTTTGCTTCTTGTGGCGAGTCGTTGGGGTCGTAGTCGGGAATTCGGTGCTTGAAGTAAAGCTGCGAGCCATCAGTTAAAAGTCCTGAGAACAACAATGAACAAACATACTAGGGTAGCCTGTGCAATCGGCATGGAATTTCCCGTCCGCTCCTTAAGGACGTTCTTCAGAAAGAATAGCAGCCTGTTTTCTTCCTCCAGCCACGTGTTGGGGTGTTGGATAAACTCCCTGGCGGCCTCTGCTTTGGCGACCAAGGTCTGTAGCTGCTCACGGAGATCGTCCGAGAGACCATCGACGTGGATCGCGCCGTGGGACCTGATTCTCCCTGTCCCTAGTGAAACTCCCGGTCTTGGCCGGGGATGAGGGGCGTGTATGCCCTGAGTCATGGCGTGTCTTCCTCCCCTGTTTGTCTGGCTTCTGCGCCCCCCTCTTCCGCCTCTTTGGGAGGTCGCCTTTCTGAGAGGGAATCTTTGCAAGGGCATCTCGTCCTCAGTATCCTCATCTTTGTTAATGTCGACGCCAATTTCCGGTTTGACGATGCTCCCAGCCTCCACCTTGACCTGGCTTGTGTTGGGCCTGGAAGGGGAGGTTCGGCGTTGCAGGGCCACATGGACGAGTTGGACTGCCCGATTGCTTGGACCTGCAGCCACTACCAAGCGTTAGTCACATTACACTGTTACGAACCAGTCATCAGCTCTCACCTTCACCATGTCTCTCCTGTTGCTGAAATGTTCCCTCCTCCGGGCCTCTCGCTCTAGCGGCTGGTTGTACTGGTGCCGTCTCCACTGGTCTTGTTTGGACTTGTGTGGTCGCTGCTGGCGCTGCAGCTGGGATTCGCAATGGCTGCGTAGTGGACTCGCCCTTACTTGCGCTTCTCGGTTGTTCTCCGGGGTTGTGATCGCAGTTTTCAGTGTCGCATGTCCAGTTCTCAAGGTCGTGGCCCATCAATAGGCCCTTGGATTGATGGACCTGACATCTCCCGTTTCCAGATGTCAAGCATCGGATCAGTGATCTCTTTCCAGTGCTGCTTTGGCAGCCGGGGCAATACCAACGCATATTAACGCACATAGTTGCGAGAATAATCGGTGGGTGGCGGCAATTACCTCGCCGTAGAAGGTGCGTGCGATGCTGTGCGGAGGGCTGGTGGTCGACTTCCCCTAGAGTTCAGACTTCAGTATCATGACGAACCCAAGATATCGTGGGGGGCACTCCGGGATGTTAACTGAAAGGGCTTTGGCGGTTTCTTTGTTTCGACTCGTTGAGGCCGTGTTCAGTCAGCGATTGTTGCCTTGAGCTTCGGTCGAGGCATTTTGGCCGGAAACGTCCCCGCGCTGCACGAAGTCTCCTGACACCACCTAACGATGTTGTAGAGTGGATGAAGGACGTGATTTCAACCTGGAAAGGAAAAAAAAACAATGGATATATAAATGGGATGGCTCCAACGTTGAAGCGCATAAGATGAATATGGACATGGTCACGCCTCAAGCAAGCGGCGGTGAATCCAGAGAAAACTTCTAGGGCGTTCTTGATCAGGGTTGGGGTAAATGTCAGGAATTGGCCGCAAGTTGGGATCGGGACTTGTCAACACCCGAAGGTCGCCGGAATCTTCTCTGCTTCGTTTATTCTCTATTCGATCGGAAGCCACCGCTCAGCTACTGGCGCTGACTGTACGAGGTGCTTCGTTAAGTACATGACTCAGTCTTCGTCAGTATCTCTCTCCTCACGTTTGACGCAGATACACGACGCCGGAGGAGCATGGAAAAGGTGACCGCGGCGCTTCCTCACAAACGCGGCGTATAGTGCCCCGGAAACATAAATTGCGCCAACACTGATGAGTGCTGGCCACCGAAAGTCCTCCGGACGGGAGAAAACCACGGTCGTGAGGTAAGAGAGCATTTCGAACAGGTTCTGGAACGATGTTTCGACAGTCGAGAAAGCGCCACGGTGGTCCGTCTCCACCTCCTGTAACATGTCAAGTTCAGATCACAGACGTGTACTGCTGGATGACTCACGTCTTGGATGATGTTTTGGGCACACAAATCGTACCCCCACAGCCCAATTCTGCTCAGAGCAACACCAACTGCCAGTCCGGTGGCAGAGAGAAATGGCGACTTGTAGTTTCCGTAGCCGTCGGACAGGAACCAAGTCACTCCCACCGTCAGCCAGATCATCTGCCACGACAAGTTCCATATCCCTGCACGGACCACACCGATGCGTCCCATTAGCTTGGGAGCGATCCAAGTGGCGCTGAGCTCAAAAACAGTGCTGATGGTACGAGCAAGGCCGACGTGCCAGGAAGTGTAGCCGACTGAGATGAGATACGTGATCATCTGTCCCGAGAACGAGAGAACGGTGAGGTACAGGATAGATAGTGAAAGAGAGGGTAAAAAAGCCGGATGTCGTAGGTAGAACATGAGTGAAGAGACCGGCCGACTTTCCACCACGGAGGTGTCTGGCTCTTCCACCGCCTCCATGTCAACTGGGTTCCGCTGCAAAGCGGGCACCATGCGGTAGACCCGAGCGATGAACGGATACTCCATCCCAACGGAGAGCACATTCGTACCGAGGGTGACGACAATCGCAGCGGGGATCGACACAGCCGCGACGCCAGAAATCGCGAGTGGCCCGAGGAGCTTGCACAGCA